CATGAACGTACACATGACGGCTGGGCATTGGCTCTGAAAAAAACACAAAAACAGTCCTTGGCTTTTGACAATCACCATAATACTAAACCCACAGACCGAGCTTGTCACAGTGATTGTGGCGAGGGTGGCGTTTGCCAGGTCACCTGGCCAAGTCAGCGCACAAACGGCACGCATAGAACACTTCAGGGATCGAGCACGGAACTCTGTCTGTTGGGGCGAGTCGGCCAGTATAGCCGACCCACGCAGCAAGCCTCCTGCCACATGCGACATGCCAGCTGGACTGGCATACCGCACACGCTACGGGCTCATAGCCTGCGAGGTTGAATTCACCACACAGCTTGCAATTGCTAGGCACAGGCAGCACAAGTGCATTTTTCCAAATCTCAATCAAGACGGGAAGGCGGTCGTCGACCTTCGGTCGGCCAGCCGCAGTAGCTTTGACAGCGCAAGTGCCGACTGCAGTCATGACGACCCGATGGCCAGCAAACGACATCGGCTTGTTCAAAGGAAGGGGCCAAATCGCCCTGAAAAACTTGTCAAGTTTGACAATGCTGCCACAACGACTATCTGCATCCCACCAGTGAACAAGTACAGGGTGCAAATCTGTAAAATCGTCATCTCCAGTCTCCGGCTGCCGAAGCACTAGTGAGAGCTCCCCCTGGTGGCCCGCAGGGAATGCAAGGTTTGCCGCGTCTGCCCAGTCAAGTGCCCGAAGCTTGCCCTGCGCACCTGGAAGCCAGTCACTGAGGATGTCCTCGAAAATGCGAGCCGTGCCCTCGTCGACTGGCGCGTCGTCGTCGTCGTCGGCCTCGATTGCGGCATCCAAAACCAGATCACGCTCAGCTTCAACATCGTCCCCAGGGTCACCGTCAGGCAACTTCTCTGGATCGACGGCACCATCTTCCAGCAACAGCTTCACAGCCTCTCGCTCTTTCTTGTCAATCTCGTCCTGCGCAGCCTGATCAATGATATCCTCCAGTCCCTTGCCCAAGTCGTCGTCGTCGTCTTCCCCATCTACAGCTTCCTGGACCAGAAGTGCAGCGTCATCGTCTCCCGCAACGTCGCCGACATCCTCGGCGTCCTCGATGGCTGCGGCCCCACCGCCCGCTGCATGATGCTTGAAGACCCTTTTCGTGAAGGTGCAAATCGTGTTCACGTGGTCTGCATCAGCAGTGGCCACAACGCTGATCCTCTTGCTCAGCGCGTCGACGGACACATTGACCTTGAACTCGAAGAGATCGGGCGATCTCCCATAGTCGTACACCTTCCGTGGACTGCAGACACCACCGCCAGCCTGGTCCCACATTGGCCCCCGAACGATCATTGGGGGCTGGGGGTCTCGGGCCGAGACCCCCAGCCCCCAATGATCTCGATCGATGGCCAATGGGGGGGCTGTGCTGGTGTGGTGTCTAGAAGGCCACCACCTCGCGATGCTGCTCTTTGAAAACGTCGTGCGACGTGAGGACCTGCAGCGGGCGCGTCAAGATAACATCGAGGGCTGGACCGAATGTCGCCTTCACCAAATACCCAACATTCCTGGACATGTCTGCGCGAACCCAGCACGTGGCGCCAGGCGCGATAACCCCCATAGCGACAGCCCTGGATGTCCGAATCACTCCACCATCTCGCTGACTACGAGCCCACGTGGTGTTGAACGGAACAACCCACGAAACAGCAGCAGTCGTCCGCATGTCGGGGTCGATGTCCTTCAAGGCAAGTAAGAGTTCGCGGTCGGCCACAAGGTCCGTCAAGGCCGCAGGTGCTGCCCAGCGAGCTGAGTTGCTCGTGATGGACTTGACGTGGTCGACGTGATCATGAGCAACTGCGACCAAGGAAGAACACGTTGGTTGGAGATCTGACCACTTCCGCGTTTTCTTGGGGAAGGCCTTCTTGATGTTGACTCTGGACGACAGCAGCTCCAAGCTGATGTGCTTCGATCTCAAACACTCCTCATGGAGCATCGAGTTGTAGCCCTCGCACTCCTGGGTAGTGGATCCTAAGGACCTGGCCAACATCCGAACAAATGACCACAGTCTGGGAGGGCACGTCCCATCTGCAGATACCACCCCCAAGCAATCACTAAACAACTTTGAAACCTTGCGGGCGTTCACCTCAAGACCCCATGGGTCTGTGTTGAGGAGCTCAGCTGCAACTTCTCGGCGAGCTTCACATCGTTCCCCAGGGGGCGACTTGCCCAGCAATAGAAGTCGAAATGGGTACTTGAGCAGAGGGTCAGCGACTCTGCGACGAAATCCAGCATGGTCCTGAAGCACCACCGCCCAGTGCATCTCAGTAAGGCGGTCTTGCAGAGTCTTGTCAGTCACAGATGCCAATAATTCGATTGCAGCGTCATCTTCCATGGTATTGTCAATTTCGTTGGCGAAGTCCTCGGCCCGCCCACACACGAGCCATGCGAGTTGTTTCCCATGGAGGTCGAGCTCTCTCTCTGAGTACACCGTGCGGATGAAGTTGTAGAAGTGCGCAAGTGGCTTCAGTGAGATCTGGTTCAAGCGCAACACGTACCAGAACAATGGATCCTCGATCACATCGCATACATCTTGCCTCCATCGGCCCATTTTCCGTCGGTGTTCAGCCTGCTCCTCGATCGCAACCTCGTTGAAGTTGAGGCCACCACCAGCGGCGTCACCGTCAGCAATGGGCAAGGCCTTTGCGGCCTCGTCAGCTTTCTTCTTCCGCAGCACCGCTGTCAGAGATGAGACTAGATTGAACCCGCCCTTGGCAACTCTGTCGATGCACTCCACCACCGACCCCCACCGCCCAGCTATGCATCTGGGCGGCGTCCGCTTGGCGTGTGCCATTGCTGACACGGCCCCGAACTCTATCTTCCACCAAGCGAATGCGTCCTTCGCAAGCTCCCGCCACACCAACATAATTTTTGCCAGTGATCCGTAGAAGCGCCATTTGATATCCCAAGACTTGAGGTACACGTCGACCAAGGAGAGGTGTTTAAGTACGATCAGCGACTGCGCGTGCGCCAGGCAGTCGTTGTCAATGAAAAGCAGTCGGGGTATAGTACTGCACGTGCGCCTCAGCTGCCGACGAGCCTTCTTCTGATCGGGGCCCCCGTCGGAGCTGTATGACATCACTAGCAATGCATTGTTATCTGGATTGCTGTTCGCCCAACTGTCGAAATCTGACCACAGGGGGCACCCGACACTGCCAAGCTGCTTCCGTACTAAAGCGAGAGTGCCACCAGCTTTTGAATTCTCAACGGGTTGGGCGTCTGCCCACCTCGTCATCTCGACGTAGGCATCCGCCCACTTGCAGGTAGAGCAGCGCTGGGCCAGCAGAGGGTCGACGACAACGCGCGTCTGAACCTTCATCCCTTGGAGTTTCCTGCGCTGCCAGATCGAGCTGTTGGTCGCGTCGCACATGAAGGCGACGACTGCGACGTCGACTGGCGACCCGTCTCGGGTTGGCTCCTCAGCCCAACCTTGGAGAATTGTTGCATGGAAGACCTTCGAAGCTGCCAGCAACGCCGCCCATGTGTCCACCTCGCATCTAGCGACTGTGGGACCAGAGATGTCGACTCGCTGAGAAACTCCATACGTCCAGCCTGCTACATTTGCAGCGTTCCTGAGCACACCTATTGCAAAGCGGCTGTGGGTGCGCAAGCGCTTGCCACCCTTATGCTTTTCCACACTTAATTCGTCAGGCTTCTTAAGGTCGGCCAGCTCCTTCTCCAATTTGGCGACGCGGAGCTCTAACCTTCTGTTTTGCTGTCTGAGATTCTTGAGCTCCCTCTTGGCTCTGTCCGATCGCCTCAGGGTGCGGGCGACCCCGACCCGTGGGCGACGTGGCTCAGAGACTGCTGACTGATCCATCATGGCACCATCAGCGCCACCGCGCATACTTTCGTCGTCAGACAACTCGACAATCACAACTTCATCGGCAGCTCGGGCCTGCAGGAAGTCCAACAAGAGTGCAGACATCTTGCCCCAGTCGTCATCAGAAATACGCTCCCCTAGCTCTTGAAGAAGAGCCCACGCAATGTCCACACTATAGAACTCAGACTCTATGACGCCGTCGCGTCTGCAGAAGCGGCCCCACGCTGCATTGTTCGTGCGACTGGGGCCAACGCACTCGTCGATGATCCCGCGGATGGAGCGCCCATCCAGAACAACGTGGCCAGATCGAAGCCGAGATGCATGCTTCAAGTACCGTAAGACCCTGGCGTGTATGGAGCCTGGGTGATCCATTGCGCCAAAATGGCTACACTGACTGGTAGGGGACCTCTTGGGGCTCTTGGGGCGAGGCCTTTTGGGCTGTTCTGGGTTGGGCCGTCCTGGAGGCCTCTTGGGCGATCTTTCGGGGCTCTTGGGGCTCTTGGGCCTTGGGCCGTTTCGGGCCGTCCCGTCCCGAAAAGAAGTAAAGGCGTCGGAGCTTGAAACGGTTTCTTGAAACGGTTTCGTTTGGTTCGGGCGATTGTTCTTAGTGTAGTGCAGCGCATGTGGAAGTTTGATCGGGATCGGAGTTTGAGTTTGATCCCTTGTTCCCTGTTACCCTGGCCGACCGTTCAAGCATCATATGGGCCCCATCGGCCCATCGGGGCACCATCGGCCCATCGGGGCCCATCGGCATTGCAGCTGGCAGGTGGAGCTCGACGTGACGACAACAATCACGTAAACGGCAAACACATAGCCCCATTCAGACATGTTCATTTCTGGATCTGAGAACTACTCCGACTACTCCGAAATGAATCGGTGGAGCGCCGTGCTGGTTGAAATCGCCAGCGTGCAACTCTAACTCTGCTGTGCCCTCGGCCCGAGGCCCCCACTCTTTGGAAGGGAAAACATCTCCGTCCTTGAACTTCCTCCTCGTCTCCTCGCCTCGCCTCTGCCCTTCAACTCCTATCCCGACTTTCTTCTCTTCCTCTCTCCCTGCCCTCTCATTCCTCCTCCCTCCGCTCACTCGCCAGAGATCCCGACGGAGCACGGCGGGCCAGGCGGCTGGGCAGCAAGGCAGCTCAGCTGGCCTATTCACTGATCACTGTCGTCGTCGGACGTGCCGCCGGTGCCCATGCAGTCCGAGGACTCCTCGTCGGGCTCCTCGGGCGCAGGAGGCATCGGACTGACAGACCGACAGCGAGAGCCTACCTTCTTACGTTATGGTTTTTGAAAAACAACAACAAGCACATCACCGTATGATGTGTTTGTTGCTGTTTTTCAAAAACCTTGGGTGGCATTGAAACATTGAGGTGGTGGTTGAGGTGGACGACAAGGGAAACCCTCGGCGGTCCTCGGCGTCGCCGCCGTCGCCGTCGTTCGGGCCATCCTTCATCCCCACCACCTTCTTGTCACCGTGGTCGTGACCTGACTGACCTGAAGGCGCAGCCCCCCCCGAGTCCGAGTTGTTGTCGAACGTGCCTTTGCCCTTGCCCTTGACCTTGCCGCCCTTGCCCTTGCTCTTCTTGTCGGTGTTCGGCACTGCGGGCAGCTTCTTCATGACTTCGGGAAGGGTGAAGTGCGTGCACTCCAGCAGTTTGGTGATGTACTTCTTCACCTTCATGATGTTGCGGCGCCCGAGTTTCGCCGCCTTGTTGCTCTTGACTGCCATCTGCCTGAACCTCACCGTCTGGTACTTCGACTTGAGAAGTAAGACCTGGAGCCTGTTGTTATCTAACATCAAGGCGGCGTTGCTCGCCTCGAGGTTGGCCACGCGCACGGTCAGTGTCTCATCCATCTTCTGGAGAGGTGTCCTGGTGCTGCTGCGCCGCTGCTGCGCTGGAGCGAGCAGCGGGAGATCCTGAGAGAATCCAATCTGCTCGAGCCAAGAACGGCCTCGGGCAGCCTCACTAGGCCGACGTCTGAACGAGGGGGTGGCCCAATAAACCTGACTCGAAATCAACAAACCAATGATGTTCCACCTCGGGAGCACAGCTTCACACGCACGGGCAGTCTTGCCTAGCTATCAACGCACATCCGTAGTTGAAAACACAAACCTTGTAGTATCCTATATATATATATATTCAAAAAAATATTCTATATTTTTAAATTTTATTTTGGAGAAAAAAAAAAAGGAGAATAAAACATGCGGCGATTTAAACGAGGTCGCGGAGAATGGGGGGGGTGAGTTTTGGAACAGGAAGGGAGGAGGGGGGAGGGCTGATGAAGGTTCTAGACAAGGTTCATAACCTGTTTTGGCCTCGCGGCCAAGGGACTTACGTTGATTAGCATTGGAGGGCCATGTTAACGTGTTTCGAGCGAGGCTGGTCAGCGAAAGCCGCTGAGGATGGGCCGAAGGGACAAGGATGCAAGGGTAACCTTGGACAGTGGCTCATCCTTGCTGTGCGGGTTGACTGTGCCGCAGGATGGCGACGAAATCTATACGTATCCACTGCTCCCCGAGCCAGGCCCACCCCAACCCCGGCAGCGGCGTGTGCGCCATGCCTCCCTGGCCTGGCCAGGATGGCGTGCACACGGCTCCTCGGCCCAGGCAGGGCCTGGTCTGGGGACATGGATATGTATAGAGTTCGTCGACTGGTGTAGGACAGCGATGATTTTTGTTTGATTTTTATGTTTTCCTTCTGTCGGCCTCCCACCGGCTGCGCAGTGGGGCTCTGCTCCGGGGCCTCCTCGGCTGTAGGCTCGGACCGAAGAACTGTGGAACTGCACCGAGCGCTGCGGTTCATGCGCGGAGCTAACCTTAGGTCGGGCATGTCCCCCTACAGGCGAATATGTTAGACAGAACAATCAAAAAATATAATAATGCGGGGGGGATGACGGACAAAACAAGTTCCGAATCTGCGGCTTCCGCTTCGCTGCGGCTCCGCCTGGCTCCGCCTGGCGTGGCCCTGGTCCCACTGGCCGACTCACCTCCCCCGCAGAGGAGCGGGAAATACACCCTCACGACAGGCACCCCGACAAGCGGAGCCATTTCGTAAACGCACCCAGGGAAGGAATCGAACTGGGCAGGGCTGTTTAATAAATGCCCAGGGCCGTTTCGCAAACGCCGATTATCTGGGTCGGGGTGGTTCAATGCAAAATGGCGATTCGTAACATAATGTAGAAGGAATGCTGAACAAAACAGTTTGCGAATCTCTGGCTTCTGCTTCGCTTCGGCTCCGTCTGGCCCGTCGGCTGTCCAGGCGCGCGCCCGACGAGGGCGGGAGGGAACAAAATGTGGCTTCCTGACCCAGGGCCCATTTTCCAAATGATCATCCTGGGCGCAGCCGCGTGAACGACCCCCGAATTTCTTTATCATCATCCTGCATTGCCCCACAAGGTGGGACAACGGTGAGGAACCTTTACTGAGTGTGCAACACAAGCCGCCCAAACGACGGACTATGCCCTGCAAACGGATGGCGTGCCGCTCCGAATAGAGGCGCGGAGTGCTTGGAAACGCTCGGGATGTCGACGCATGTGCCTTGGAAATGCTTAACATGTCGCGCCGAAATATGGTGGGACAGAACCCGCGAAGTGAAACGCGAGCCACACGTTTCCGACCGTATACGTTCTTTCCTTCTGGCTTCGCGGGACGTAGACCCCCCTGTGCGGGTGACCTGGGGGGGGCTGAGATGCCATGGTCAAGTAGAGATGAGGATCGGTTGGACGGTGCGTATCCTTCTCGTTCTTGCCGTCGCCTTCGTCGTCCTCCCCCTGCTCGCTACAAAGGAGCAGGGATCCGCAGAGGCACAACCTTTCGGAGGTCCGCGCGGATCTCTTAGATTGAAGCTTGCCCCCACCCAACCCCACCCCTCTGTTTGGTGCGCGCAGCGCGCCAGGAGCGGCGCCTGAGGCGCCGCAAGGGGGGGCCCAGCACCGATCCAAGAGATCCACGCGGGTCTGATATGCGTATGCCGATGTGGTCTGTTGGCGCGCGCATTTGCGGGTAGGGGGAGGGGGGGGGGGTTCTTAGAAGGGTGCTGCTCCTCAGAAGGCGCCAGCCCTGATCTATAGATACGGCCCGCACCTCCTGAGGAGCAGGGTGTTTCCAAGAAGCCTTCCTCGCGTCCCCTGCCCCCCTCTGTGCGTGGCTGAGTTTTTCGACCACAGGCCGTGGGTGAGCCGCGAGCAGCGGCCCGTGCGCACCCTTTCGCCGACGAGGGCGGGTCCGCGAGCGCCACTCGGGATCACCGCGTCTCGCCAGATCCCACGAGTGCTGCAGCAGCGCATCTCGATGCTCAGTCGAGGCCTAGGCTGTCATGTTGCCGATCGCAGCTGTCACCCACAAGGCCGAGTGAGTATTGAAACGCTGCTCACTCGCAGCGCTCTCCCACTTCTCCTCCTGCTGCTCCTCCTCCGAAAGGCGCAGGCGCACTTCCCGAGGAACGCCTTCTCAGCGGGCCACGTCCGAGATTCGAATACTATTTCATGACCTCCTGCTTCCTGTTTCCTGATGGTGTGAGAAGTCTCCGGCTCTGGGGGTTAATCGAACTAAACAGCCAGGTGGATGTGACCACTGGCTGTGAGAAGATGATTCCCAAGGTAAGCAGACCGACGAGAAGGGGAAGTAGGAGGGACATGGGGGCAGACTGTAGCATGCGGCGGGGTGACAAAAATGCTGGATGGGCCCTCGGGCCTTGTTTTGGTGGCTGAGACGGGTCCTCCTTCCTTCGAGTCGCCGTAACCTCCTCCGTGCTCCTTCGTCCACGCAGAAGGCGCCTATGCGCGGTGGTCAGGGCCATCCCTGGCCCTGGCACTGTGCATGCGCCACCGTGGCCGAGGCCAGCGGGGCCTCTACACGCTCCCAGCGCCCAGTATGACCCTGTCCGGGCATGGTGGAGAGGATCGAGGATCGAGGCTCGAGGACCGAGGATCAAGAATTGAGGATCGAGGTTCGAGGATCGAGGTTCGAGGTTCGAGGATCGAGGTTCGAGGATTGAGGATCGAAGAGGTACCTTACGCGGATCCCCCGGTGGTTCTCAGGCCACGCCTCGCGCCTAAAGGCAAAAGCCTTGGGGCTCCCTGGAGAGCTCTCAGTGCGGCGGAGCTGCTGGAACCCCGCCCGGGGCCTGGAAACCTCCAAGCACCCAGAAACGCCCTCGAGAGCCTCCGAGGTCAGATGTTCCCCTCGCGAGTTCCGCTCGCGGGCAAGAGAGAAAGAGAGAAAGAGGAGGAGGAGGAGGAGGAGAAGGGAGAGGAGGAAAAGGGGGAGGAGGCGGAGGGGTAGTAGTAGTAGTAGTAGTAGTAGTAGTAGTAGTAGTAGTAGTAGTAGTAGTAGTGGTAGTGGTAGTGGTAGTAGTGGTAGTAGTAATAGTAGTCGTAGTAGTAGTAATAGTAGTAGTAGTAGTAGTAGAAGTAGTAATAGTAGTAGTAGTAGTAGTAGTAGTAGTAGTAGTAGTAGTAGTAGTAGTAGTAGTAGTAGTAGTAGTAGTAGTAGTAGTAGTAGTAGTAGTAGTAGTAGTAGTAGTAGTAGTAGTAGTAGTAGTAGTAGTAGTAGTAGTATGGTAAAAGTAGTAGTAGTAGTAGCAGCAGCAGTAGTAGTAGTAGTAGTAGTAGTAGCTGCAGTAGTAGTAGTAGTAGTAGTCGTCGTCGTCGTCGTCGTCGTCGTCGTCGTAGTAGTAGCTGTTGTAAAAGTCGTAGCCGTAGTAGTAGCACTAGTAAGAATAGTAGTCGTCGTAGCGAATCATCGTGCAAGTAGCGGTGGTAGTAGTACTAATACTTGTTGTTGTAATAGTAGTCGCCGCAGTCGTAGTAGTCGTAGTAGTAGTAGAAGTAGTAGTAGTAGTAGTAGTAGTAGTAGCAGCAGTAGTAGTAGTAGTAGACGTAGAAATAGCATTCGTAGCGGTTGTAGTAGTAGTCGGAGTAGTAGTAGTAGTAGTAGTAGTAGTAGTAGTAGTAGCAGTACTAGTAGTAGTAGTAGTAGTAGTAGTGATAGTAGTAGTGGTAGTAGCAGTACTAGTAGTAGTAGTAGTAGTAGTAGTAGTAGTAGTAGTAGTAGTATTAGTAGTAGTAGTAGTCGTAGTAGTAGTAGTCGTAGTAGTAGTAGTAGTAGTAGTAGTAGTAGTAGTAGTGGTAGCAATCGTAGTAGTAGTAACAGTAGTAGTGGTAGGTGTGTCTGCAGCAGTGGTAATCGTAGTCGTCGTACTAGTAGTAGTAGTAGTCGTAGTAGTAGTAGTAGTTGTAGTAGTCGTCGTAGCGATAGTCGTTGTGAAACCAGTACTAGATGCAGTAGCAGCAGTAGTAGTTGTAGCAGTCGTAGCAGTAGGAGTGGGAGTAGTAGTAGTAGTAGTAGTAGTAGTAGTAGTAGTAGTAGTAGTAGTAGTAGTAGTAGTAGTAGTAGTATAGCTTGTAGTAGTGAGTCGCCGCAGTCCTTGTAGTAGTAGCAGTAGTAGTAGTAGTAGTTGTTGTTGCTGTTGTAGCTATAATATTGATAACAGTTGTAGCAGCAGTTCTAGTTGTAGTAGTGGTCGTACAATCATAGTAGAAGTACCGGTTGTAGTTGTACGAGAAATTCGCCGGCCCAACGGGCCAGAGGCGTGCTAAGATCTCCGGTAACTGGTTAAGAATTCTCTAGCGCGCGCGGGGCGGCCCCTGGGGGTCCCCGGACGAAAAGTACCCCGGCAAGGTCCTGAGAGAGTCCCGAGAGGAGTCCCCCAGAGCGCTCCAGGAACGCTCCATGAGCGCACCAACAGGGCTCCGAGACGTCCCCGAGAGCCCCAAGAAAGGCCAAGAGGCCCCCAAGAGGCCCCCAAGATGGTACACGAGGGGTCCGACAGTCGAAAACAAGCTGGTAAGCTT